TTGTTTGGCAGGCCAGGGCTGGATTCGAACCCACCACCTTAGGTGTATGTGGCTGGCGCCTTAGCCACTTGAGCCACAGGCGCAAAGCCAGTAATTTTTATTTTCTTCTTCATGTCCTTAGGTATCTTTAAACACCAGAAGTATATATTCTGTATTATCTATAGAAATTTTAGGTCAAGTATGCAATATTTCTTTGAGAAGAAAACTCTAACTGCCCTTAGGATTTCTATTTCCATAGTATGGAAGATTTTTACCCAAATAAAAATCATGGCCCTGACTCTGGAATTGGAAGTGATAATGGAGAGAAACGACTATCTACAACAGAAGTGAGTCTTTTCTATTGTTGATCTATTTTATCTTACACTTTTATTAGAGCTTTGAAATAGAGACACTTATATACCTTTGACTTTTAATTTTTCTCAAAAAATGATCATTATTATATATTATGACTTCAAAGACTTCAAATGAAAAAGGACATGCAGATTTTTAGAAGTAGGAGAGTAAATCTTAACATTAATTTTCGATTTGAAAACTGGAGATGTAAAGCAGATATTCTGTAATTCATATGTGAAATGAAAGCAACATACTCCTTTCATGTTTAAAACAGCTCATTTGTACTTTGTATTTATTCTTTTCAGCCATCAGATGATGATACAATCAGCCTTCACTCTCAAGTCTCAGAATCAAATAGAGAGCAGACATCAAGAAATGACAGTCACACAATAGGAAGTAAGGCTGACTCTCAGAAAGGTAATTCATATGTTGTCTGCTATTTTTATTTCATGTACATAGCCCACATTAAGGATTGGTCTTTTATTAAAAATGGGCTTTGAAAAATTTTTATTACCTTTAGCTGACACTTATGATGAGAAAATATACTTTTTTTCTAAGCATTACAGTGTTAGAACACACCATTTGTTGTATATATTTTCTAATAAATATTTACCTATATCTAGACCAGGAGGTGTATGATTTTATTGACCCTAACACAGAAGATGTAGCAGTTCCTGAACAAGGAGATGCACATATTGGATCATTTGTCACTTTCTTTAAGGTAAACAAAACTTTGAACACATATCATGTTCTCTTTAATCTTATAAAAGTGGACCATACAATTTAAAATAACTTTCTTTTATATAAGGGAAAAGAAAAATGTTCTGAAAAATCTCAGAAAAATGAAGTATTGGGGGATGCAAAAAGGTAAGCGCATGAATTCTCAAATTAAAATGTTACTTATAAATAAATGCTTGTACTGTTCATTAACTATTCCCATTTAACAAAGTACTTGAAAAAATATTTTTCTTGTTCATTTACTTGTTATGTTTAGGGAATTAATTCAGAAATACCTCATTTGTTCTATATTCCTCATTTGAAACTCAAAATTATATACCAAGTACTTAAGTTGAGTGTAGTATGTATACTTTTTTTCTCCATAAAGTGTAATGATAATGTCTCCTATATACTGAGGAGGACTGTACGTTCATTTAAGCTATTTAAATAACCTTTTTTTTTTTTGCTGTTTTTTGCTGGGGCTGGGTTTGAACCTGCCACCTCTGGCATATGGGACCATCTCCCTACCCTTTTGAGCCACAGGCACAGCCCTATTTAATAACCTTTTAAAATAAATGGTATTAATAACATTTTATCAATAAACAGAGTCTCAGAGTTTCAAATGTCTAGAACTCAGGTGTTCTATTACACTATATTTCATCAGGTTGGTTGTGACAATTTTAAGGGTATTTACTTCTGTATTTTATTCAAATAATTATGCTTTGGATCTCTTCTGTATCCTTCATCTTGGAGTGTGACCTACTGTATTTTTTAATGCAGTCTTTTCAGGTTGCTCCCTTATGCTATGTGCTTTCCCATTTAATCTTCACTAAAATCCTGTAGAATAGATACTGACCTAATTTTTATAGATGAGGAAGATGAGGTTTAGAGACTCCAAGTTTTATGCCTAAAATCATTTATTTAACTAGTGTTCACTGGTCGTTTTGATCCCCAGACTTTTTGTCTACATTGTTCTTCCTCCAAGTCATTTGGTAATTTTAAAAGCAGTTACTAATTAATCATCTTTGATGCTATATGAGGAGGTGCATTGCTTTGTCTTATACTCTTTAAATTTCATTCTTTTCTTTCTTTCTCACCTTAGTTAATGAGTTATAGTTGCCTAAACTTGTAGGAGTCACCTGGGGCATGTAGATATGGCAAAGATATAGATGGAGCCTCACAGTTTGATACTGTTTTTAATATGAAGTGCCTTTGAAATAAAACAACCAGAGTTTGGAAAACAATTTACTTAAAAATTTTTTTCTCTTTGAATGATAAAAATGGTATATTTTAATTAATATTTTCTGGCAAATTTGCCAATCTTATTTTGTATTTTCTTATTTAGACTTTTTACAGACCTTTAAAATCAAAATGAATAAACTGATAAAAGCACAGTGGTTTAAAAAATGAGAATTTTGGCTCGGCGCCTATAGCTCAACCGGCTAAGGCGCCAGCCACGTACACCTAAGGTGGCGGGTTCGAATCCCCAGCCCGGACCCG